AAAAAAAAAAAAAAAAAAGAAAGTGATTTTCAGTGTTGACTATGTAGAATCATCTGGGGGGATTTTAGGAATCTCCATGTCCAGGCTGTCTCACATACCAATTAAATCAGAATTCTCCAGTATTTTTTAACACTCTTCAGGTGATTGCCATGTGCATCCAAACTTGAGAACCACTGTTGAGCGGGGAAGCAGAAACCTTTTAAGAAAAATTCTACCTCCCCTACAAAATTCTGGAGTACATGAGACCAGGTCCGTTTGGTTTGTTTCTGTTTCTAGCTGGCCTTGGACGAACGGGCACTCTAATAGCCTGCTACATCATGAAGCATTACAGGATGACAGCAGCCGAGACCATTGCTTGGGTCAGAATCTGCAGACCTGGCTCAGTGATTGGGCCTCAGCAACAGTTTTTGGTGATGTAAGTAGACAGAGAGCTTTTGTAATTCCTGAGGGAACACATGGGCCTGGCAAATGATAGGAAGTAGAGTTTTTCTTAGTCACTAACAACAGATAGTCTAGTAGGAGAAAGTTGTTTGCATGTGTCCTTCTGGAAAGCTATGTTTTGATGTTATTTAAATGCTCTAGGAAACAGGCAAGCCTCTGGTTGGAAGGTGACTATTTTCGTCAAAAGTTAAGGGGTCAGGAGAATGGAAAACACAGAGCAGCTGTCTCAAAACTCCTCTTGGCTGTTGATGACATTTCAATCAATGGGGTCGAGAATCAAGACAAGCAAGAACCTGAACTGGTAATCGAACCATCCCTATCGTGCTGTTGTCATTGTTTTCAGTGCTGTTGAGGACCATATAGGGCATGGGGGAAATTGTAGATAAAAATAATAAAGCACGTTTTTGAGGGATTATCATCACACATTTTTTTAATACTTACAGCTCCCTCTAGGAAACTTTTACTCAAAATAATTCAAATAAGGTCATATGGCCATAAAATGGAAGGTTTTTTTTTATTTTGTCTTTTTGTTTATTTACTCACTAGGCACTGGTGGTAAAAAGAGGTATGTGAAGGAAGCCCTTTAGATGGACCTAATGACATTTCCCCGTGCACCTGCACCCCCAACCCGGCGTTTTTTCCATTTCATGACTGTTGATTTAGGGAACTAGTTGTTCTCAAATGGAAAAGTTTATAAAGAACCAAGCAAAAGTTTAGGGGTAGTGGTACTATATTAAGTGGTGGTGAGTGGATTGTGAAATTTTACAAAGAATGTTTTCATTATTGGAAACCCATCATGCCTCTTCACTGTCAGTATGTTTTATAACAAGAGTGCTGTTGGGTTCTGTGTCTGTGAATGTCAACTTTTGGTTGTCTTGAAATGTGACCCGTGTTTATTTTTGAAAGCAGCAAAACACTGTAGAGTTCAGCAGTTCATTTGTATGTGTCTGTCTGGGTAAACATAGCTGCTATGCTTTTTTGCCTTAATAAGTGCAACTGAAGTCACTAGCTTAGTGTCTCTTTACTTATACAGTACAGTGATGATGACGAAATCCATGGAGTGACACAGGGTGATAGACTTCGTGCCCTGAAAAGCAGAAGACAGTCAAAAACAAACGCTATTCCCCTCACGTGAGTCTGGTTTCCTTTGTGTGGTTGATGTTATTTAATATGTACATGAGCACTTTATCTTGTATGTTTTTCTCAATAGTTGCATGCCCATTATGCCACTTTGAAATGCTTATTTACATTATTTAAAATCCAGGGATGTTGCCCAAGAAGCTCTTGGCCATACTTTATCTACATCTTCTATTGTAACCTCACTAGCCTGTATAGAAAGGAAAGCGTTTTCCCTATGGATAGTCACCACGTGACATCCTCAGGAGAGTGGCAGCAGATGTAAAACCACAGAATGACAGATTTGTCCATAGTTATTAAAATTGTGAATTTCCTTAAATTCACTACCATATTATAGGCAGTTTATTTGGATATGGTAGAATTTAATCTGTGATGACAGTGTGGCTTAATGTCATATTTTAGGGTAACAATGAACTAGATTAAATGATTTTTGTATTAATTTTTGTTGAACTATTTTCAAGTTATAGAAGAAGGTTTAGTATGGAGGTAGGAAGTTTTATAGTTAGTGTGTGTATGTCCACATGTACTTGGTTGTGTAAGTTGTTAGTTGGGATTCAATCTTATGGAATATCCCAGATTGTTAGAGAAATATGTAGAGTTAAAAAACTTGGTCATTACACTTTTTTTCTAGGATATTCTTTCGTAGATGCTGTAATCTAGGCTGTTGGATTTTTTCCTTTTCATTGTGGGCTGTCACATTTCCATTTATGTTTTTTGGTGATGGAGAATGGAGATAAGTCATTTTGTTTATTAGTCAGCATCTTACAATATGGTAAGGACCTGATGGCATCATAAATGTTCATGGTAGAGAAGAACAGGCCTTCTTTTTAATTAACAGTGCGTCTTCACTGGCATCTCCTTGTTATATTAACTAGAATTACACAGAACGCATGTGTCCTCATAGGCTACTCACGGCCTTGGGAGGTTCTTAAAAGACCCAAAGAAAAGAATGGGGTTTTTCAAAAAAGGGCCATGTGAATGAGAGGCGTCAAGTATTGATTGTAGGTATTTACTAAGCATTCTTTGCAGCTTAGTGGTGCATCACAAAACTGAAGAAGCTTTAAGAATAGTGCACTTTATATAATTTATTTAACTTCAAATGCCATTTTGTTTTTAATTTTGTTGTTTTCATCTAAGGCCTGAATGTTTCTTTTTATTTAGAAATATTGTAGTCCCTCCAGATAATCATCCTGAAGCGGTAAGAGACATGGTAGAGGAAATAGGTACTGCCCTGGAGCATTGCTCAGACTTCACTGTGCATTTGAGTCTCCTGGGAGCTTGTGAAAATGCAGATTATGGTTATTGGGCCTGGTCTGTGATTCTGCATTTCTAGCAAGCTTCCAGGTTTTGAGGCACTGCTGGTCCAGGGACCACGCTTTGAGTCGCAAACCCTAAAAATGGGTGATTTGTGGGTTGCTTTTAGTCATGCCTAGGTGTTTTGTTTTTACAAATCTGCAACATCAGTTTATTTCTCAGTAACTTCTGATCAGAAGGCAAGTTGGGAGTTGGGATGGGAATTCTGCTTTGTCTAAAGTTCTGGTTAAATAGGGCTTATGGGAAATTTCCTTTAGTTACTCTGAGTCTGCTCCCTTGTGAATATGCGTTCCAGAAGGTTCACGTCACTTGTTTTCTTTTCTACAGATGAGACGATAAGGCTCTTTCATAGCTGATAGGTTTGTGGTAATATAAAAGAAAACCATGAACAAGACTAAAATTCTAAATACTATTGGAAACCAGCAGGTGACGCTAGGTGTGATTACATTCACTTTGGTGTGTGAGGTTCTCCAGGGTGAAAGCTGAGCAAAGTCAGTGATGGTTGAAGGAAAGACCAGCCTCTGCTATCACATGCTAGTTACAGAGTTACCCACAAAAGAAATAAAGGACATGGCTGGCCCTTTTCCCTGAAGCACTTAGCCTAATTTATAAACCAAGGAAAATGGTAAAAGTGAAAATAAATAAAGCGCTAGTTCAAGTTCCTGTAATTGTAACCCTTAAAACAGTAGAATAGCCCCCAAACTGTCCCCCTCCCATACACATAATCAACAGGCTTTTAGGCCACAGTTTATTTTATTTTACTTTTTTAAATGTTTTTTTATTTATTTTGAGAGAGAGTGCAAGCAGGGGAGGGACAAAGAAAGAGAGGGAGACAGAGAATCTGAGGCAGGTTCCATGTTCTGAGCAGTCAGCATAGAGCCCTACACATGGCCTGAACGCAGGAACCTTGAGATCCAGACCTGAGCTGAAGTTGGATGCTTATCCAGTTAACTGAGCCACCCAGGCGCTCCTAGTCCACACTTTTAAAGGAAAAGACAAAATGTTAAAATCCTTTTAAGCTCTTAAGTGTAAAAACCCTGGGGGGGGGGGGGTTTAGATTTCCCTTCCTTCTTTACAACATTTTACTTACCCTTTCTCTGCTTTTTCAGACCCTCCTTGCTATTAAAATCCTCTTTTATTGTCGTATTTGTAGTTCTTTTGGTCCTAGAAGAAGAGGTCACTTAGGGATTTCCTTTCCCTCCCAAGTGTTTGTTGTTACTTTAGAAATAAAAGTTTCCTAAGATAGAGTTTTTGAACAGCAGCTTGGGTTGAGAAATCTAAATTCAGTCCTTGCCTCCTGATTTTGACTCCTTTATCACTTGTGGGTAACCTATTTTGCTTCACTGTTGGTACTTAGATGAATGAAAATACTTAGGTGAATGAATATAAGATTTTTAAAGTTTTTTTTTAAATGTGTATTTTTTTTTTTAATTTTTTTTTTTT